TCATCTGTTCATCTCTCACTGTTTAAATGTGCCAGTTCCACCTGTTTGCTGTCAGACTGTCTATCATGTTATTCCAGCTGTGCAGTAGCTGTTTGACTGTTCTTCTGTTTGACCTCCTGCATGTTTTTGGGCTTTTCCTGTTTGCTTGGTGTTCCTTCCTGCCTGTTACAAACCACTGCCAGTCTGCTTATTCCACCCCTCATCTAAGCCCTTGCCTGCTATTGCCTGTATGACCTTTTAATGAAGGTGAACTGGTTCAACTGTTCCTCTGTTCCTCTGAGTCGTTTAACTGAGGTCTGTGTTTCTGAGCCATGACAAGCCCTCTCTCTCCATGTCCAGTCACTCTGGAAGAGTAACCTTGTGATAGCTGTGCATGAGTGATTAGGAACCAGCTGCACCTATCACTTTTAATTAAAGTTGTATCCATTGTGTTGACAAACATTACAGAGGGGAAATCCCGCCCCAAGTAGAAAAAAGCACTGTTCTGTGTCCCAGACCTATGACGGCTGTACAATCGATCTCCCAAAAAGGCCCAGACTGTTCTTAGTAAATTATCAGGAAGAGGCAAAATTACACTCTAGTGTGGATCCTTTGAGTTAAACATACCCACAGTACAACACTGGATCTAGTGTGGGAGAGAACATAGAATAGAACACCACCTCTGTGGTCTGGTAGCCACTGTTTTGGACTTTTGGCTGCCAAGAGCTCCTCCGCGGCTTGCTGTTTGAAATGGCTGGTTGCTCAAAAAATGCTCCTTTAATCTGCACTAGGTGGCATGTGGGCCTAATGTCTGGGCTGACTATCAAAAAAGCAGGAAGCAGGAATAACAACAGAAAGGCTGTAGGCAGCAGAGTGTCATGGAAGGTGATAGTATAACTGAGTGACACAATGCCCTGTCCCATTTTCAATGTAGTTATCAGAGTGTGTAAAATCTTAGTTAATGCACCTTTAGATAATGAAGTAGTAACAATGGACAGCATCTTAAAACAACATAAATGATTGTTATCACAGTTCATTTGACATCAGTGGACCCTTGAAAGCAACAGTATGCTTTTAGTATGCTTTTCAGATCACTGAGCAATGCCTGACATTCCCTCCCCTCACACCTTTCAGACCTCAGGAGGGCTACATTCAACAATTTCTTTAACCGACAGCCCAACAAGCACAACCACTTTACAGTATGTAAGAAGTAGGAAGATTAAAATTTTTCTCTCAAGCTCTCTTTTTTCATTCTTCATACAACTACTACTTTCACTTTTCACAAAGTGTGACTCCATGAGTGCCTTTGACAAGCAAGGTGTGCACCATTATCCTGTAACAGCAGGCCTTTCAGCCAGCCTTCTTGTCACCAGTCAGGACAGTTATAGCCTAAACATTTTTCCCTTTAAACACAATTGGATGACAGGTCAACCTCATCATCTTCTCTAGCCCTCCATCTGTGCCTGTGTCCCTTAACACAGCCCTCTCATACATCTGAATGGAGCCGGTATGGCCGATGGTGCAAAATAATGTGGGGTCATCTGCTAACAAAGATGAGCTAGGCTCAACTTTTGCTTTTATCATCTAGCATCTGCAAATGCAGCTACACATTCCAGATAGATTAATGTATGTGAATGCTGCATTTGTGATCATTGTGATGAAAGATAAAATGGATGCTTCTGTGATTACAGGATTACAATTTAAAATTTGGTTAAGTTACAAATTACAGTAACAAGATGTTGCCTTGACATTTGACTGACTTGCTAGAAGTTACCACTAGCTGATGGGTTGATATCACTTTTGCTCTTGGTGCAGAGATGTGAGAGGGGACAAATGATGTATACAAATGTTGTGTGTTTTTAGCCTCAGGTACACAGGGATCTGGACCTCGGAGGCTGCTTCAGTCCAAATGAGAAGTGTATGTTTTAAATTCATGGTTTACATTTAAAAACCTTTGTCAAATTGAAAGATTAAAAAATAATTTTCTGTAAGAGGTGCAATTTTTGCTTTTTCTCAAGAGGAAGCTCACTCTCTTGCTCTGACTGCTTTCTACAGTGCACTTACATGGAAGCACAATTAGACATGCTGGATGAAAGGAAAATAGGATGCAACAGAGCAGCAAATAACAATTTCAGGACGAAATGATTCCAGAAACCCACTGAATATGCTAAACAGTTGTACAATTATAACCAAGAATAATTCTTTTTCACACCACCGTTGTCCATCAGTAATGACTGTAATTCTTCTTATTGTAAGTTTTAAAATAAATCACACATCTAAGACTTATTTTCCATCAGTATTTCTGTTCATGTCTGCCTGCATATCATAAATCATCCACCATGTAAACAGTGAACTGATAAGGGGTTATTTTCATATCACAGCAGTGCCTCTCGTCTGCCTGGATTACATTTCTTTTTCTCTCTGTCTGTGTGACAATGAGGCACTCTGCCTCGTTTATCAGCACTGAACCACCGTGACAGACTGGAGCTGGGCTGCCTCTAAATGGTGGCATTTACTTTCCTAAAGCACAACTGGAAAAGTCATTTCGACTGCAGGGTGAGACATTTTCTGCTTCCCTCCTTTCCAACTGTGAGTGTCTTTCTCTTGCAGCAGAAAATGATAGAATAGGGCAGCAGACTAAGCTTATCTCTGTGGTACGGGTCTTCTGTATTGTCTGTTGTTTAAAATATTTGGGCAAGATTCGGATGGAAGCAGATTCAGGCAGATAGAGCAAAATAGATCTGCTAAGTATTTACTTTTTATTGTTTACTACATACATATCATTTCATTCCAGTCTGCAGTTGTGTAAAGTCAGTAAATGAATGCCTAGGGAACACACAACTACATGTCCACAATGTACACAAACACATTCACACTTTGCAATATTGGGTCATTGCATTACAGTGACATAATCCAGATTACATGTCACTGGAGAGGGGTATTTACCGCACCAACTTAAGTGATTTGGACATTGTCACACTGATGCAGCCCTCATATTGCTTGTCCTTTGAGGGGTACCAAGTGAAAACAGATGAGATGGAATCAGAATTATGGTATTACGTCTTGAGGGCTTTGTGTTTGAGAAGTTCAGTTTTTGATTCCAGACTTCACTATCAGTCACTTGTATATTGGGAACAGGACTGAAGACAAGCAATGCAAATAAACCCTTTACAGCAAAATACAGTATATTTGTGTTCTCAGTTCATTGTCATTCATTTTATAGACCATTCAGTTTATTTGACGGTGAAAGCAGGATTCAGTCCTGTGTTTTGAATATGGGTGGTGGGGAACCCTTATTGATCACATTTGGATTACTAATAGCAACAACTGGGATCCAATGTTGGTTTTATATGTCGTTAGGTAAGGAGTACAGTGTACAAATAGGCCCATAGAGAATGTGAAGTTGATGTCACGCCATGTAGAATCTTGGGTAAATGTGCTGTGTTTGGAGCATCATGCTAATTATCCATCATAGATACTGTGTATATACCGCATATATAAGTTAATCTAAAAAGTACTATCTCATACATCTACATACAGTAGCAGATGCTTCAACTACACCCAGATGTCCACTTTAGTGTTCAGTCTGAGCACAGACAGGGCAGAAATTGATTTATCTGCAGTGGTTGTGTCATCTGCTGACAGCAGCTAGTGTTAGCTAGCAAACGGAGAGCTCAGATCAGTCTACAAAGTCATTTCTCAGTCTGTCACTCTCATTCGTTGGATCCCTAGGTCCGCTGCGAATAAGCTTCAGTCAGCTAAGGTTATCCATCCTAAATTATAACAGTCAGTAGCAACCTTTTAGCCAAACAAAACAAGAATTTAATCATGTTAGTACAGTGCCTCCCTCCAGAAATGGCACCCACATTCAACACAGCATGATGAACCTTCACACTCTATAAGTCCATTTGTCCACATTCACTGATGAAGTAATTAGTCTTTTAGATTCTTTTCTATCTGTCAATCTATATTTCTAACATTAAGAATGAACTTTCTTGCTCATAACTAAACTTATGAAGTAGAATCCACCAATCATTAGCTAGGCCTAGGTCTATAGGCCTCAGGTATTTGTAGTATCCCAACAGTAAATTGTAACTGCTGTTTACTACCTTGACTGGCCTTGCCTTTTTTTTTAAACAGTCATTCATATATTCAATTGAAGCTTCACTCTCAGTCACAACAGCAATGCACTAACTAGATGGCCTGAACCATCTGCATGAAACATCTTGGTTAACCAAAGCTTAATTTTATCAGCAAAAAACAATTCAGTTGACGGTATATGATACTCTGTAGTAGTAGCAAGGTTCAAACTTTGTTAAATTCCCCATCTCTGACTGTACTCTGCCAACACAGGGGTTTGAAACCAAGCTTACTAGTCTGTATCTCTGTCCTGTTTCCATTACATAATGTAAAAACCGTTTCCATAATATGGCACACAAGGGGCTGATATTATTCTTCTCTTGTGTTTGTTCCAGCTGACTAGTCTGTGACAAGCTATAATCAGTGGATCACATCTCCAGCCACCTGTTACCTTAGAGCCACGGGTGGTTTCAGGAAGTGGTAGGAGCCAGATTTATTTATTTATTTTCAGCAGGATTTTTTTTTTTTAAAGCCACCCTCTCTCCCCTCTTTCTCCTTCAATGGCTATAAACCCGATCACACAGAAATGCAAACGCTTACAAATGCGCACTGAGGCATTAATAGTAACACAGGTAAACTCAAAAATGCTGTGTTCTCCGTTGATAGGAGGGTACAGCAATCTGAGGTCCGATCTCCACAAATATGAACTGTCCTTGTAAAAGACATTAATCATATAACTGTTGACTAACTGTAATGCGCACTAGTTTAAAGTGGTTAACGCTACAGAGATCCCCCTCGGCGTCAAAGTCGCTGTCCATGGTATCTATACATTAAAATAACGCTGGGATATGTTAAAGAAAGACACTAAATAATGGACCAAGCCCATATGGGTCTACTCTAACTGCAACCCATCGTGCTAATTACAGTAGCAGGTTACTTACTCTTGGTGATCTTCTGCAACCCAAGCACGTCCTCGGGCGTTATTACAGTATTTCTGCGTAATTCTTCTTCGGTTGTAACCGGTATCCCCATGTCTGATGAGTTGCAGCCTTGCTGCACTTTCATGTCCAACAGAGGAGGGCTGTTCGCTGTGCAACCTGACAGGAACTGGGTCTTTCTGAAGGGCTCGGTGTCGTTACCACCGCAGGAGCCGATCTACTTGGGTCGGAGCCTTTCACTACGCTTGGGCTACTAAACCTAGCAGCAAACAGGCTTTGCGCACACACAAGAACAACTCATTCTCCGCGCCTCCTCCCCCTTCTCGCTCGCTATAAGATAAAAATCAGCTCCCCCTCACTCGAGGCTCATCGGCTCTCTCCCAAGATATTTAATCCCAAATCCGCTGGCTTTAAACCGAGCAGTGGTGCGTGGCTGACAGCCTGCGCGCCTCGTCACAGTGCGTGCACGGCTGGCCTGAAGAGCTGCTACTCATTACCTGATACTTGTTACAGAGATGAGCTGCTACTGTTGGTGCAGTAGAAGCTCGTTGGTAACAGAGATAACCTCTTGAAATCATGTTTTATGTAGGTAGCCTGTTTCCACTGCGATCACCCTGAACGATTGTCTCTCTCTAGAGGTTGCATACACAGTGCTTATAGTATAGGTACATAGCTTCCCAAGTCCTTCAGCTGCAGTGAAATGTTTTCATCTTTGTATCTTCATGATGTGTCCTCTTTAATAATTGTTTTTGGCCACTAGGGGCAGGCAGAACAAACAGTAAGCATATATCCGCTTTTATGTTCACCAAAGATTTTGTCTTTTTGGTATATGACTGCCAGTATAGAAAAGAAAGGCCAAAAACAAATCTTTTTTATAGGAGGGTGATGAACGAACATGCTGTAAGGAGGTTAAAAGAGGACTTTATGGGGCAAGACTGGGAAGCAGTTTACAAAGAGGAAGACTTAGACAAAGCATATGAGCAATTTTAAATATATTCATGAAAGTATATGACAGGAACTGTCCTCATAAGCAGTATAAAAACAAGAGGAATTACAGTGGGAAACCGTGGATGAGTAAGGGATTACAGAATGCATGTAAAAAGAAGAATGTGTTATATAAGGAATTCATAAAGGACAGATCAAAGAAGGCGGAAGAAAAATATAAGTCATATAAGAACAAATTAATTGAGATTTTGAGGAGATGTAAGAAACTATATTACTCTAAAGTATTAGAGGATAATAAAAATAACATGAGAGGTACTTGGAATATATTAAATAAATTGATTAGAAACAGTTCCAGCAAGAGTAACTACCCTCAATATTTTATGGATAATGATACACCGGTCAATAGATTGGAGGATGTAGTAGATAAGTTTAATAGGTT